GACCACACGGGCCAGCCTTCTCTCCCCGCGTGCATCAATGAGCCTCGGTCGCCCGTGCCCCTTTCTCCGGTTCAACGCTTTTCCTTCCTTGGACCACATTTGATAGATACCGACCACTGCAGACCGGGAACACCCCACAAGAGCTGCAGTTTTGGAGAGGCTCTGACCCAGCAGTCTAGCCATCACAATTTGGCCCTTGTCAAAGTCGCTCAAATCCTTACGCTTGCCCATTTTTCCTGCTCCTCTAACACATCAACTGTGAGGACAAAATGTTCACTTGCTGCCTTATATATCCCACCCACTGACAGGTGCCATGGTAACGAGATAATCAGTGTTATTCACTTCACCTGTCAGTGGCCATGATGGTTTGGCTGATCGGTGTATCTTTGCAGCAGAAAAGGGGAACAATTTCACAGTACAGTTCAAGTTCCGCATTCCAGCTATGAAAATGGTCTGTTGCCTTAATTTGCTTAATGTCTTATAGAAAATGTTAAAGGATTGTGTCTTTATTTGCGTATTTGGTCATCCAAAAGTAGAAAGTAATAAAGTCACTTTAATATTGTAACGTGATACTTTTAGTGGTTTGTGATTAGGTTACTCATTTCTATCAGATTACACTTTTTAAAGTAACCCTCCACCCAACAATGTAAACATGTAGGTGTTTATTATGTAACTGTAATTTTAAATGTTATAAATGTGTTAGCAGGCCAATGTGAGCAAGCACAGGTGAGGCTAATGGGTTTCGGTCATGTCCTGTCAAATGTGAAAATCAGACATGTCAGTCGCACAAGATCAAAAGTCAGGAGGTCGACCAAGGTCATCAGGATTTAAACTCTGGGGGGCCTAAATGTCTGTAACAAAACTAAGTGTGCAATTGACAGATTGACTGACATACATTGCCTTATGTAGAGCCTTTGAGCTAACCAAACATTGTGGATGACAGGCTGACGAGCTGACATTGAAATGATGAAAGGATACGTGATGAAATGATCAGTTCACAGTCAAAAACAGCGTTCACTTCTGCCAAGACAGAGAAGTTATATTTTTGGAAATGCTGTCAGCTGTTGTTTTCAGATGATGTGATGTCGCCTCTGCCAAGAACCGAAGACGAAGGCTCCTCACGTCAGCTGAAACATTCACATTTTGTGTGTGTGTGTGTGTGTGTTCAGGGATGCTGAGGATTATGAACAGTGTGATATCTTGTTTGCCACTTGGTGCATAAAATGAAATTACAAGGCAAGAGTCAATATCTCATCATGCTGATTTTGGCTAACCTTGCTCTCCTTCCTCTGACTGCTACATTCCTGTGATTTGGCAGAGGGACACTCTTGCTCTCTTGCAGGAATTAACCCTGAAATATCCAGT